GAAGGGAGCCAAGGGCAATAGAAAAGGGCTGCTATGTGTTGAGGTTGAGAGTACAAGGGCAGAAGCTGCAGATCTGAAGAGGAATCCCAGCTCAGCACTTACCAGCACAAGTGTGACCTTGGGAAAATGGCTTACCCTGGATAGCCTCATCTGTAAATGGGGGGAGTCACACTACCTACTTTTCATGTTGTTGTGAAGATTAAGTGAGATAATAAATGTGAAATGCTTAGAACAGAGTAAAGCACATCACAGATGCTTGATATGTGAACCATTGCTGTAGCTGTTAGCATCCTTACTGTCACCCTCACTGCCCCCTCTGAGGTATTTCAGGCCGATGCCCATTACTTATCACACCCTGGCGGGAAAAAGGTTGAGAATTCTTCTCTGAAAGTAAAACACAGTAAATCAGGCCGAATATTAAAATAGTATATCTTTTCTACTATAATTTCTAGGCTAATTGGTTCATGTATTTTTCCTTTTGACACATAAGTTAAATGGATGCTCATGTGTAACTAATGCAATTTCCCTTCCTCTGTTTAACAAGAAAATATACAGTTAACGGTTCTGCTTTGGCCAGTTTAAGCAGATTTAACCTAAATGTCCTAGTTTGGGGACATGTTCACATGTTATTAATCATGTCAGTGAGAAGGGTAATCATGGAACAGCTCTGTTCAGTGGGGGAAGTAATCTGTCCTAGGTGATACTCTGGCCAAATCAAGCATATTAGGGAGAAGGAATGTCAGTCTGTTTTGCCAATTTGAAGGTTAATTAAATAATAATAACCTAAGCACTCAGATTATAAAAGTTCATTTCAGGTAGCTCAAGGACGATGTAAGTGTCAGACTTTTCAGCTTTCTTTAACAGAACTGGTTATTTCTCGAATGTCTTGGTTGTTTTTAATCATCCAATTTGCAATGAAAATAAAAGATGTTTTTAAAGATATTAGAAATAAGTATCTAAAGATGTTTCATAATGCCAAGTGGTGTGGGAAGCTATTGGGCAGCAGGCATATTTGTACTTTGTTGGTAGAGGTATAAATTGAGGCAAGTTTTTTTTTGGTGGGGGGGGCAGTCAGTTTGGCAATACTCGTATTTGGCAATATGCATATCCTTTTACTTAGTAAGTCTGCTTATAGAAATGTATTCACTTAATGGATATTCTCTCTCAAGTGCAAAGATGTGTAAGCACGGATGGGTTTTGCAGCAGTGTTTATAATAGCAAAGAATTGGAACACTAAATGCTCATGAGTAGGGACTATTTAAATAAATTATGTTGGATTCATATAACTAATTACCATGCAGTTGTTAAAAACAATAAGATAGAGCTACACAGTAACATGGAAATATGTTAAAATATATGTATTTTTAAAGCCAATATTTTTGGTAATGTTTTTGATAGTTATGGGTAGAAAAAATCTCGAAGGACTCAGAAGAAAAACTTGCAATATAGACAAAATTAGAGCTATCACTGGAGAGTGGCACTAATGACTAGAGATAAGTGGAGATTTTAACTTTCATTTCAATCCTTCAGTCACCTTTAATTTTCTTTACTGTGAATATTTGTTACTCTTAGTATAGAAAAATTTTAAGCATTTAAGAAGAAAAGAACAAACACCTGAGCTAAAGTCATACTTTTTTTTTTATATGTTCACCTATGATTACAGATGTCATTTTTTGCCACAATTTGCCACAGCAGTTTCTAGCTACATAATCAGCCATGGTAGTCAAAACTCATCATTCTGAGAGTAAACTGTAAATCCCATGCCTGCCATTTTGTACTGTCAGAATGAACTATCCTATTATCACTCCTCACCACCACCAAAACCTAGAAATAGGAAAATTTGTATCTCCAAGAGAGTTATGGCTCCTGGGTATTTGCTGGCTATTGAAGAGCTTTAACAGCTCTCCAGGAAACCAGAACTGAAAGGTATGGCTGCAAAATACTTCTGTATCTCCCCATATTTTTCAGCTTGACCCCACCACCTGCATGATATTGGCTGAGTCACTTAACAGACTGTTCTCAGTGCAGACACCAGAAGCGGACTGTGTCTATGACAGTGCCATGTAACATATACATGGTTTCCCAGTACCTGTTTTTTTTCAAGAAAAACAACTGATCCTTGGATTTTTTACTGTTTCCCACAGTTGCCCTAAATTGGTAGCAGTGCAATATTTCTTTTATTTCTTTCTTTTCCTAAATGTTAGTGATTTGACTCAATCCCACAAAGTCCTGAATTAGAAAGAGGGAAATGGGCGTTCCTTTAGACCTGCCCTTTTTGTGTCTGTAATTTGGGAAATATGTTTATAATTTGGGAAAGTGAGACTCAAGTTAAATGACTCATATAATTTGTACATGTATACATGGAACTCCAGCCCCGACCATCTGACTCTTAACTTTTTCTTTCCATCATATCATTTCTCCTCTCGGGAGCAAAACAGATCCTTTAAGAAGGACCACTGTTACCCTGGCTAACACTCCTACTTGAAGAACTTTGAAGAAGCTCTGAAATTCATTATGGAGCTAAGACTGGCTTTGTCAGCTTCCTGATACTTTGATCAGAAAGCGTTTAGAACATTAGAGCTGTGTACAAACTTAAGAGATCATTATCAAATTTATGCACAGAAATAGATAATATTCATTCTGTTAGGTCTAAAGATCTGAGCCAGATTCAATCTCTGAAAAATAAGAAAATTATTTCTTTCGAAAGATGTATTAGTTCCTTGCAAATGGTAGATTTATACATCTGATTGATCCAGCCCCTCCATCATCGACACAGGCAAATGTTCGACCATCTGACTGGAGATGGCCATGGTGCGGTGGCAGAGCATAGAACTGGAGGCCAAAGACCAGAGCAGTGCCACCCCCCATTTCAGCCTCCACCTCTTTGTCTGTAAAACAAGGACCAGCAATTCCTCCTTCTTAGGGCTGTTGGAGATTCACATGAGAGCTGTAGATTAAAAGCCTTTGTGAAAAATACTTCCCTGGGCACATCTGAGGAGTCACACATTAAAGGGGACGTTATAGCTTAGTACTTAGGAGCTCAGATTCTGGAGCCAGGCTTCCTGGTAGGAAGCAACAAGCTTTATTTCTAGGAAGATCACTTTGAGAGGAGACTGGTCCATGGGAGCATGTCTGATACCACCTGAGCTAGATTTGTAGCCCTCAGTGGATCTCTGTGGCCTGCTTGGTTATCTCATGCTTCATGTCAAGGTGGTGGTGCTCAGAAGAAGGTCAGCTGTGTGGATTACCCAGCGCTTTACAAAGCTAAATATATTTGAAACCCTGATAGTCACCTGAATTCAGTACAGGCAATAAACTATAGTACTTATGAAATGGAATTTTCCTCATGGGCCCTAAATTCTATTAGAAGAAATTTCAAGAGTCTTAAATAAAATTGCTTAGTGTTAAAAAAAGGGGGGTGGGGCAGGGAGCCTTGCTAAATTAGACGCATGAAGTTTGCATTCAATAGTGAGCGATAGAAATAGGAAAAACTATTTTAAGCTATAAGAAGGCAGTACTGCAGTCCTAATTTGGGGATAAGATGGCCCAAAATTTACCATTCTGATGTCATCACACACTGAGATGTTGGACAAGTTTCTTTACTTCCCTGAGCCTGTTCCCTCAGTAGTAAATTGAGGGCAATAGGCCCTACTTTGATTTTTGACAATTGATATAATGCATTTAAAGCATTTAGCACAGTTCTTGGCATGTAGTAAGCACTCAGTAAATATTACTAATGTTATTTTTAGGCAAAGATGACTAACGTGTTTCTAAGTGATTAAGAAGACTAAAACGAGCCATTGGTGTCTGAAATTAAATTTAGAATAAGGAGGAAAAAAGATGGTTTGATTTGATTTTGTTGTATGTTTTGTAATTGTTGTTTTAAAATTAGAACTCTAGGTTGAGATTCTTATGTGCCTGTCCAGTCTGGGGGAGGGCAACAGTTGTCGAATCTATTGGGGGGAAAAAAAAAAAAGATGGACAGTGATTACATAGCAATCAAAAATAAAAACTATTGAACATGTAACCATTACTGCGACAGCCTCATTAAACAGCTAGCCTACCATTTCAACATTATTACCATCCCACCTCTGCCAAAAGCCTTTCCTAGCCATTTCAGCACACAGTGATCTCTCCTGAGAACCCATAAAGCTTACTAACCCCATTTAGCCTCAAAAAAGCACTGAGGCACTTATATACCCTGTCCTGTGGCTCTTTTCTCAACTGGGCAATGTTCAGGGCACCCCTCAGTGGGGCCTGGACGAAGTCTTCAGGAGGACTAGAATTTGTGTCTTACCGAGGGAGCATTCTTTCAGAATACTCTCCCGCATATTCAAGAAAAGGTGCTGACACACTAAATGATATTTGGTTTTTGCTATGTTTCAGCATTAGAGAATAAATAGATTAGGATGGGAAATTAGCACCTCAGCCAGCACTCCCTAGAGTATTAAAAGTTGCGAAAAATGGCCTTGAAGAATGAAAGGCAAAAATCTTAACAGATATGACAGAGAATTTCAAATAGTGCCCATTGTTGAGTGGAAGTGAGAAATGCAGAGATGATTTGCCTGATCCCCACTTAGGAAATAGGTGGGAGAAATAAAGGAATTTCTAAGTTAGCAGGTATATCTGTCTTATTCTTTTATGTAAAATACTGAAACTTTGTCTTAATTCAGTAGATGTTTGCTGAGCTTCTGCTCTGCAGAGTGGTGATGATGATAACTAACATCTGAGAAGTTACTGTTTACTAGGCTTTCCTCTGATCACCAAAGTGGTCTTGGACCTAGAGAGTCATTCAAGGTAGAAGTAGGGATAGGGCCTTGTCTTGTTTGGGCACACGAGAACAAATGGATGCGGGGGGCAGTGGGGGACCAGCATCTCATCATGTACTCCTTATAGAACAGAGCGTTGCAAAGAGATTCTTGAGAACTGAAAGGCAAAATCTGGACAGACTTCCTTTGCACAACCTCTGAATCAGCTCTGAAGGTCTCCTCTGCTTGCAGGCATCAGAAGTTGAGAGACAACTCTCCATGCAAGTCCACGCCCTCAGGGAAGATTTTCGGGAGAAAAACTCATCAACCAACCAGCACATCATCCGTCTGGAAAGCCTGCAGGCCGAGGTGAGCTTCCCACGCAGCAGGGTTTGGAAGTAGAAGTGCTTTTCTCATTGGAGGCACTGCAGCTGGTCTTTTAGATATGGAGCCCTCTGAACTGGGGAACAGAAACCTGCTCTGTCTAAAATCTCTGAAGAGACATATCTGTGAGAAACTAAATAGGAAACACTTGATCCAGGTTCCTCTGGGTAGTCTGTTGGCTGGAAAAATAAGGTTTTTCAAAGTTACTGCTGAGTGTTTTGAAATCATGAATGACCTACTTTTTACTGAATATGTTGAGCCCTCCAAAAACATCCTTGCCAATCCTAAATAGCTCATGGGAAAGAGAATCTTCCCTTTCTCCGTTCCATTTGGTCCGGTTCAATTCATCTTAATAGGGCCTATTATTCCCACCTATAAAATGAGAATAGAAGTATCTGCTTCATAGGGTTGTTGTGAGGATTTGCTGAGTTAATATATGGAAAGTACTTGGGCGTTTGGAAGATAGTACTGGTATTAAAAGCATACAAGAGGGCAGTCAGGGTCTATGACCCTGAGTTGGCCAGAGGGGAAAAGAAAGTAGCACTTAGGAGATGATCCTGTGAGGATCCAGTTGTGTGAGGTGAGGAGGAGAGGGCCATATCACCAGCCCAAATGGGGGCTTTTTCCTGGGGAGGCTCCTACCCGGTCCACGCCTGAGAATCCCTTCTGCTCTGAAGAGCAAGCTTGTGGCTGAGTTACACTTTGAGGGACAGGCTAGGGCCACGTGACTGTGCACCCACCGTCACTGTGGTTAAGCAATCAGCCAAGGTGGTCAGGCCCAGAGAAGCAGGCTCCTCCTCTGCTTCCTAAATGACCCAAAGACATTTTTCCTAAAGTCTGTCAATGTCTTCTCTTTTCTCCTGCCTCTCATTCCCTTCTCCCCTCCCTTCCCTTGGAATTCCTACTGGGATTGAGCAGCAGGTTCTCGAAGTAAGTAGTTTGTTCCGGTGGGTTCGGCATGCCTGTCTGTGACCATTTGTGTGCATGACTTGCCGTTCAGCTGCCTCTGCCAGGGTCTGACTCGTCCAAGCTGCCTGTCTTCTCTCTCCCCCCCACACCCCCCATCACTGTTTCTAGACCCTTGTGACACAGGGTCATTCCCAAGAGCGTTTATTGCTAGATTTGGTCACAGGTTCCAGGGCATGTGTGGGGGGCAGGGTGAAGGACTTGGCTACCTCATGCCGATTCCTTGCTTCATCTGGTAACACTACTTTTAAAAGCCAAGCTATGAAATTGTTCATTTCAAATAAGTTACTTCATGGGGCCAGGGTTGTGTATCAGAACCATATTACCTCATTACCTGACTGAGTGGAACTTGGGAAACAAAGATGATCAGTGGGAAGGAAAGTGTAAAGGGCAGAGGGTATTTAAATGAAAATCAGCGAGCGCAAGAATTCCCTTCTCGTGGGTAGCGTTGCTTCGGTGCAGGGAATTGTGGGCCCAGTGACAAAGGGAGCCCGTTCCTTTTGGTCCCTCACCCAGGTGCACACTTGTGAGACAATAGTCCTTTGTTTGGTTAGATACCTGATCTCTCTGGACAAAGGCCACATACTTTATTTCCCCAGGATGGCATCCTATCTGATTGATTGATGGCCAGGGCAGATGTGTGCCCCATGAACAATTCTAGTGCAGCGTGAGAACAGCCAAAAAGCAGAGGGCGAGGTGGATTTCGGAGGACCTGGGACAAGTTACACGTTCATTTTAAAATCTTCCCTGGAAAAGGTCTGAGGCTGGTCCCGGTCGTGAATTGTTATCCACATCTGACTAGAGAGCTTGGAGAACATCTTAACCACGTCAGGAGATATTTACAAGCAAGAGGCTGGTTGAGAAATCAGTCCAGCTGAGAACTGATAAATAAGAGGAGCCAGGGAACCTGCAGGACTCCGAAAGTCCCCCAAGGCCACTGGCATTTGGGGATACTCGGGAAGGCTTCCCAGAGTCCTGAGCAGGGTGGCATTCTTGGGGTGAAGCATCGCTGGCCTCGGAGGGATTGGCACAGCTACCTTTCCTGCAAACCTTGAGGCCAAAGAAAACTTGGCATCTCTTTCCTCTTTTCCTCTGTTTTCCAACTGAAACTGAAGAGACTAGACAGACCTTCCTAAAAGGTTTATATCTCTTTGGAGACTGGCTAGATGTTCAGTGTACAAACATACCAGCCATTTAATAAAAGGAAAGAAATTGCTTCTATTCAAAAATGGCTTGCTCAAGCAAAAAAGTACCTTGAGTAAAATCAGTTCTTTCCTTGTGTCCATGTCCTGTTCCTTCCCAGAACACAGGCTAATAATGCAAGCACTGCTTTGTTTTCTGTGCTCTGCTGGCTCCCCTATTAACTCGGGTCTGAGCTGTGACCTTAGAGCCAGACCT